CCCCCCTTGGGATTTTCTATACAGTCGAACCATTGTCAAGGAGAAAAGTTGCAGTATAAAACAGGTGGCCGTCTTAGGCAGGACTGATCAAGATGAAGAAAGCAAACCATTCTGAAGGCAGCGGCATTGTTGTTACAGTCCACGCCGGCTTTAAACACAGTCAGGAGAGAAAGCTGAAGCGTGCTTAATGTCAAAGCGTGCTTGAGTGTGAAGTAGATATAATCCCGAGATTTCATGTAGAAAATTTCCTGTGCTATTTCCCTTTGTAAGTAGGCCTATAGTGGTCCTGCAAAAGTGTGCACTGTTATTTTTACCCGCCATGGTAGTTTTTGTTTGTTTGTTTGTTTGTTTGTTTTGTTTAGTGGTCGAATGGAAAATGAAAACTTAATTTAGACGGCCAGTCACGATACAGCACACTAGGCCAACACACTGCCTGTGCGCACCATTGCCCGCTGTACCACATTCATACCACTGCCTTCATCCCCCCAAACATGGTCTTTGATCCCACCTCGCGCGTGATACCAAATCAGGATTATCGGATAGTGAGGGGCAATATGGTGAAATCGCAGCCAGCCTCCTTTTCTCGTCTCCCTGACTCTCTTTGTATTTTTTTGTCTGTGTGTAGCTTTGCCCTAGGCTAGATCCTATGTCCATGCGTGCAGCTGTGTGCATCTCTCTGCCTTCCTCTCTGCGCATGTGTGTGTGTGTCCATCACTTGCGCTGTTTTTGTTTCTCTTAACACGCTCACTGCTGAGGTGTAGACTGTGTTCAAACTTCGATAGGTCATCATAAAAGTGTTGACTGTCTTGTAAATGAAGCGTGCCTGAAGCCGAAGTTACTGTGCTTAAAGACGTGTAATCTATATAGCAAAAATTCGGTAAGAGCCGTTTAGCGTGCTTGAGTCCGAAACGTGCTTTATGCCGGCGTGCTTAAAGCCGGCATCACAAGTTCACGTTGACGTCCATTGTTGCTTTGTTATTGTATGTAAACTGGGTAAACAGTGACCGCTCGTCTCAATTAAGATTTGTGTATGAGTTCTGGGCAGGTCTTATGAGTTACGAGGGATCACACGCTTACCTCACCAGCAGCTGAAAATTTGTTACATGTAGCCTACCTATTGGTCAACAGTGAGAGGGGCCTACGCAACATGATCGGTTGGAGGGACTACCTAACAACAACGACAGGTGATTCGATTATATGGGCCCGCCCACAACGCCAGGGACCAATGCATGATTTATGACAAAACGTAATGGAGTCAACAAAGTGGCCGTCTAATACAGGTGTTATTGCTTTGCGTGATAGGGGTTGTGTGTTAAGATAGGGTGGCCGCGGCCGAGTTTGACAGGTGCCCGTTTTACACAGTTAAATTATATAGAAAAAACGCAAGGGGTGAAATGGAAAGTGGCCGTTTGTACAGGTGGCTGCCAGGGCAGGTTCGACTGTATATATGTATTGTCATGACACTGTCTAAGAAAACCTTGTTCCTCAATAGTGGCTTGTAGTCTTGGACAATTTTGACTTTATATCCATCCTGAGTTTAAGCTGAATGAGTTCTGAACTGATGTAAATTGTGGTAAATGTTGTGTACAAAAAATGTTTACAGTCTGTCAACTACATGACATGAAAATCTTATAAAAAAGGTACCCGCAGACATTAAGTGGTTGCCTGTACTGTAATGCATCGCATCAGTATCAACTGTCTTTAAAGGCTTTGAATCGTAAATTACTTGTCAACTGACTGCCTGATATAGCAAGTTTAGTAATTTAACAGTGCTTCCACTCTTCCGTATTTTTACGGAAATCCGTACTTTCTGCTAGTTCCGTACTTGTCCCTCCATCATCATCAACTCCCTCCGTAAAAATCTGCGATAGCGTAGGACTACCGAAATTCTGTAGCAAAAGATCCGTACTCGCCTTCGTATCGTCTTGTATAAGTTACGGATATTTACGGTAATTCTCTCGGCAATAGTTAGAAACCTGCCAGATTGCGCATTTCCTGCAATCGGCCATTATTCTACTCTGCCCCATGCATTCATTGCAGGCTTGTCGGCAGTACTACATTTTTTACCTGCAGATTGATCAAAATCTGGCGAACTTTTTGTGCCACTTTGCTCCTTTCTATCGTTCCCTCATTCCGTCTGTCTATCTTCGGATTGCTGCCGCGGCTGGAAGAATCTGCGCGTTGATCAAGTATATTGACATGTGATCTTAGACAGAAAATTACTGTCAGAAAGATTTTTTTTTGCAAATTTATTGTCTAGATTCTAGATCTAGAGAAATTATCTTTGCGAAGATTCGGACGAGCGACAGTCGTTCTAACACTTACACAACTACATGTAAACTGCGCTGGCAAGACTAACATACGGCCGTTGTCGTTGCTTTAGTCTGAACGCATTATGAGGGATAAGAGATTTGTTGGTACATTTGGTCGGTCGGCCCCCGTCGTTATCCTAGAAGTAGAACGACTGTTTCTCATCCGAGTATTTTGTTTGAACGTGCAGTTAGTCGGACCTGTTAGTAAAATTGTTTCAATCGCGCATACGCATCACGTGACATGACATCGCCGCGAGTTCTGCGTGTCGGGGACCGTCCGTTGACGGGGTCAACCCAAGTTCATGTATTTCGGGACTTATTGGTTTGGGGGGGTAGAGACTTTTGGACTAGGAGTGCTTAACGTGATGCTTCAGGATTTACCCAAAATAATGATAACACGCACGCAAAGACACACAGAGAGCATATAGGCCGAGTAATTTATGGACACCCATGGAAAATTTTTAAGTCAGTTTTGGCAGTCACCTTGGTGATTTGCTGTTGATCCCGATTTTTTTTCCACCAGATCCCGATTTTTTTTCACCAAATCCCGATTTTTCTCTCCCTGAGATCCTAATTTTGAGGCTTCATAGAGTGGCAGGTCTGGTAACTGTATTGTGAAGGTACAGCCTACATATATCTATTCATTATTACCAGGTTTGCCTTCTATCAGTATCAAAGGTGCGATGACAAATTAATTGAATTATAGTAGCAATGGAAGGGGAACCTGCTTTTAAACATTGCCAGCAATGGAAAGATATATTGGTGAAGAAATTAAACAAGACAAAATATTGGTGAAAAAATAAGTAGTATGGGTTGTTGGCAATCTCTTCAAACAGGCTCCCAAATGCCATTTTCAACCCTCTAAAAGTACTAAATTTCAATTTCTCTCTGCCCCTGGACCCTGCTGGGGGCCGCAGAGGCCCCCAGACCCCCAGCAGAATTTTCCTTACTTTTCAGCTACAGCTGGTGGAAGCACTGAGTAATAAATGTTGCTGAGTTATTTATCTAATTTGATATCCTTGCCAGTCAGAAAAATGTTCACTACTGTTGAGTCTGTGTGATCTTATACTTCTTTTATTTGCATCTTTGTCATCACCAGGAAGTAGCTGCTAATCACTCACAAGCTTACCCGCCAGATATGGCCAGTAGTGTGAGCGCTACTGTCCCCGCCGTGTCTCAGGCGACGAAACGAGCGCACGCCGAGTCAGAGCTGTCTGCACCAGAACCTGCAGCGGCTCAGCAGGAGGCACCACCAACACAGTCTCCCGCCTCCACAACTGCTGCTTCTGCAACAGAGTCTCCAGCAAAGGCAACAGTCCCTTCAGAGCCTGTGAAAGTTGATTCTGAAGTGCCCAAAGCAGCAGTAGCAGCCGTTGCGCCGAATGGCGAAGAGAGTGGTGACAATGTCTCTGAGAGTAATAAGGCAAAGGATGTGAAGCCTACTCCTGCTCCTCCTTCATCTGATTCATCAGGGGTACCACCACCAGAACCATCATCCTCAGCAACAGCAGCAGCAGCCATTTCTCCTTCAGAGGTTGAGGGGAAAAAAGATCCCCCTGCTCCTGCTCTGCCATCCCCCTCTAAGGAAACAACACTGAAAGCTCCAGCAGCAGATCCTTCTGCATTAGAAATCTCAGGAAGTGGTACATCGTCTGGTACTGCTGTCGTCCCGCCTAATAATCCCACAGTTAATAATGACAAGGCAGCTGAAGGGAGCTCTCATCAGGCTCCTCCCAAACAGAACACAGCTGCTTCTTCATCGGAGAAGACTAGTGATGCCACCACAGACTCCGTCTCCAATGGCACATCTTCAGGCAAACCCACAGCAATGGATACAACAGAAGGTCCAACCCAGCAGAAAGAGTCTGTGAAGCCTTCATCGATAAAGAAGGATGCGGATCCCAAGCTATTGACAACTACCACCAGCAATAACGAGCCTAAAGCCAATAGTAGTAAGGTGTCTCGGGAAGATGGGGAGGAGCCAGAGAAGAAGCCTAGATTGGCTCTCACAGTTTCCTCTAGTAAAAGTGCCAGCAAGACACCAGAGCAGGTTCTTGAGTACATGTACAAAACCTTTGAACACCGGAGGAAGATCATCACCAAACAGATGCCTACTATTCCTGAACTGAAGAATCTTTATCCGGACCTCTTCATGGGCAAACAGCTCTTGATAGAATTCCAGCGTATCACCAAAATCGACATTGACCAGAAGATCCAGGAGTTTTGTGTTCGTTATGCCACAGCTGTTATTGAAATGGCACGTGGTAAGCCTGGCTCTGCCCCTGTGTTGGCCCGATGGGATCAAGCCAAGCAAGAAAACGAAACGCTGAAGCAGTACTGGGATATGGTCACTGCACTTTGTTTGCTACCTCTTCACTTTGGCGAGAATTTTGTTGAGATGGTCGTGGAGATTGGTGAAGAGGATGAAGTAGTTGCGACGGGGACAATAGTCCCAACTCTTATAGCTCGAGGAAACATTTTCCGCACAGATGAGTTCTTCCTCATTGCTGAGAACACAATTGTTCAAGAGTTTGAGGAGTTTACCATAGCGTTTGCCTCATTGTATTCCAGTTACTGGGTGTTCAACATGGTGTACCCAACTGAGATAGAGAACACCTACAACTACATTCAGAGGTGCATTGTTAGGCAGCGAGAGCCTGGCACAATTCCTGCAGTGTGCAAAAATTTCACCAAAACCCTGCAGAGGTGGAACAAGGGGAAGGAGAACAAATAGTGGCGGGTAGCTGTCACTTGATGTGAATGTACACTCAGCAAAACTCAAGTCATTCTCATTATGGGTACAATAAATATCTCAAGAGATTTTTTTTTGGTTGGAAAATTTGTCTCTATTGTGCTTATATCATGTCATCAACAGATAATTCTTCTTCCGTCTTGTGTCTACCTTTATATGCACTCATCAGATCTTAAAATGTTCTGAAATGTGACCACTAAAGTGTGTTGTGTCAATATTTTGCAATTACCTATCATATAGGCCTATATATTCTATTGTTGTCCAAAGTTATGCGAAACAATACCAGAGATGTATTTTTTATTGTTGGAGATAAGATTTAGTGCAGTTATCATAAATGTGGTTAAAAAAAACTAGTTTTCAAACCTGTACAGGCTCATTAATGGTCAACTGCTTCATAAATCAAGTGTTTGAACTGGGTATTGTAGTTCATGTTGCTCTGAATCATGTATGTCGATGAATGCAGTGCATCTTCTACAGAGTTTGTGCAACTTTGGATTGAATCAGGAACGGGTTCTTATTGTTTGTGTACTCTGGGTTGGTGTATGGATATATTCTTAACTCAAGTGTGTATAGTAGGTAATGTTGTTTGAGTATATCTTTGTGGTTCGATGATCTGCCTCTTATTTATTGCAGACTGTTGTTGCGGCTGTGTGAGGGTGTGGTTTATTTTTTGTTTGGCTTACCAGGCCTCTCTATTTTTGTCAGCAAGCTAAAATTATCTATAGTCGATAGTGCTTTATCTTAATCTTCATTTGCAATTCCTTGTTTCAACGTTTGGCTAAGCTAACTTTTTGTGGGGTTTTTTGTCTGGGTGCATTGGATTCTCATTGTTGGTGTAATGATGCTCCTCTTTTTGCTTGTACTTGTAGATGTCATGGGCTTTGTTTGATTGGACTATAATTTCCCTCTTTTAACCTTATTTTCACAGGAAAGTCTACATCCATTATATTACTATCGTACACTCTGTTTATCATTTCTCACTCTCTTAGAGTTGTTTAATGTAATGTACAATATGCAGATAAGAAAACCAATTAGTTTATATATTATATCTATATATTTTGAAAGATTTGGGATATTTATATTATTGTATACTCCATAAAACTGTAAGAAGTGGGACTTTTTTGTCTTTGATTTTTTTTCTCTCTCTCCTGTGTTCCTACCTCTGTTTGTTGAATCTGCGACAGAGGTAAGTTTTGTTCATTTGGTAGCTTTTTATTGATACTTTATCTGAGGTTTCTAGACATTTTGTTGTACGTGGAAACGTCAAAAGATGATTTTGACACTCAAAGTATGAACTTTTTTTATATATATATATATTTGTCTTTTGGAGAAGTCAATCAGAAAAGTATTAATATGTGACTTTGTTTTTAATGTGATCAGACTATGGTACATTTAATGTGAAAAAAACCTGAATAATTTATGAATGAGTGGAACCATTAGCACTGAGTGTCCTGACATGAAGTGTGAGCAATGTGTTGTTACACATCACAGGTAGCAGGGTACCGTGGTAACTCGGGCTTTTGGCAAAAATCCGTTATTTTCATGATATATTCCAGGGCATGGGGGTGGAGTGCCTGCCCTGCAAAAGCCTTTGAGCCGTGCAATTATTTTGTAAAAATGCACTTTATGCTGAAATTCAAAGTATTGTTGATGGTCATAGTCGTGGAAAATCAGTTATCTGTCCCTCAGATAAAATTTGGGAAAACCAGAGTTGTGATAGTTATGCTGCTACCCTGAGAGGTGTGTGGTCATGTCGTCATTACAAAGTAAATCACGAATGCCGTGTTCCCCTTGTGTCCCTTTTTGTCTGTTACTTGGAAGTTCCCCTTTCTTACTTGTGACGCAGTGAGTAAAAGGCGTAGGCCTTTGAGTTAATTTTGTGCTGCAAATAGCAACCAGTCCTGTGTGTTAGCATTGATTAGCATACTTTTGTAGGCTTGAGTGTTCCCTGGCCTACTTTCCGCGAGGCTCGGCGGGCAGCAGGTGTGTGAACTGTTCACTTACAGAACAAGTGGTTTTCTGATAAACACATTTCCATATTCCGTGGAATTTACACAATGCACACCACAGGGTGCATGTTTTTATGCCTGTTGGTTGTGGCTAGCTTTGATGGAGGCTCAGTGCCTGCTTTCTGTTGTAAGATTAGTAGTGTAGCGGCACTGGTGGCCCCTTATATTTATAGTAGCAGATCAAACGGCTCTCAGTGGTGACACTCAAAAGGTGCTGCTTAAACTGGTTAGTCTGCAACTAACTTCCTTTATGTGTCATCACTTATTATGATTATTAATGCACTATGTGTGCATAACAGATGGAGGGTATGGATAGTTGGTGTGCTCATGAACCTACAGCAGTGATGTGTAGCTGCTAAACAACGTGAGTTTCAAGGTGCGTATTTTGCCATCTCCGAGTCTTTACACATTTTTACATACATACTGAGTACCTGCCACATGATCTGTATTATTATTATTATTATCATCATCATCATCATAAGAATTATTTTTTTTAGCAATGTGGTGAATGGAATTGATTCCTCTACTACAAAGTGCAAACATATATTTGTGTAAACTTTAATGTTTTGTTTAGCTTAGTACCACTTTAGATTAATTTTTGTCATCATACATAAAAGGCACATATTTAAATTTGAAAAAAAATTTGCAAATTGTGTTAGCTTTATTTATTTGTCTTCGTTGCCCCACCCTTTTCTACCCCAATATTGTGCAACCAATTTTACTATCCTTTATTTTGTCTCTTTGCTTCCAATGTAAAATGCTGGCGACACTGGTGTTGACATTTCAACCAGCCAATAGTGCTGCTGGCTAAGAACTTGACATACATAAATTCCAGATTTGAATCTGAGCAGAGTCTGGATTTTCTCACCCTTCCCGGGTCGTTTCCTTAAAGTTCAGTGTCATGCTGAGGGGCCATGTGCTTTGCTTTAAAATCATGTCCTGGGACTATGTGACCATTATACTTTAACAAGAACAAAACAAAAACTGTTGAGTTTGTTGGATTCCTTTTGCTTTTTTTTTTTTTTTTTTTTTTTTGTTTTGTGCAAGGAATGTTACATGGGTTATGGCCTATTGAGGGTGCCTAAGTGCAGGGGTTTTGTTTTGCTCTCTTGGGTTGTTTTTTTGGGGTTTGTTTTCTAAAACCGTACTTCCATAAATTTGTGTACCCTTTTTTTGTTTGGGTCTTGTTTGTCATGGGAGCATGATCGTAGCTGTCCAAGTATGAGTTTGTTTAGGTTTTGGTCTTTCTTTAAATGTAATTGTGATTTTTTTATTAAAATGTTTATTTCTGTGTTTTGTTGTTATCAAAAATTGAAAGGAGAAAAGAGTACAGGTTTCTCAAGCTATTTGCTTTGGATTATAATTTTTATTTCTGACTATACTATACCAACTTTCTCAGCAAAAAGCACACCACAATTGTTTTATTTTCTCATTGTATCTCTTGATCTGGAGTGCAGGGCATAGCCAGCATTGCTGTATCTTCTTTGGGGTGCCATTTTTTATGACGGTTTCATGTACTTCAGATATATCGATAATAAGTGTATCATGATGTATGAAAGTCCAGAGTTCTGTTTATGTGTGTGTTTGGCTGTTGTTGGGTTGTTTTTTTTATGGCAGTTTGCGTCCTACTTTGTGTTAGTGATGTCAGCCATTCTTTTTACTTACAATCAACTACGTTCTGGAAGCATTGCCAGAGTTCAGTTAGGTGGCGCCCCCTAACTGTTTTCCTTTCCCTGTGTGTGCATTTTATTGAACTATGAATTCTTGTATAATCCATTTGTCATGATGGTTGTGGTGGTGTTATTTTAATTAAATAAATGTCATGGTATGTATAAAGATTTAAGCATTAAGTTTTTCTTTTTTGTTGAAAACTAGGGTACTGCCATATTTGCATAAATGTGCTTACCCATTATTTTCTATAGCATTATCGGTACCGTAATCAAAGAGCAGGATTTGAGAGTCTCGCAAACACACCCGAGCTCATGGAGCAGCTATCATGACCATTGAATTGCCAGGTACATTGCGTTGTTCAGATAAGACTACTCTAAGTAAGGTAAGTCATATATTCATATGTTGTGAAAGTGATGCTGTGTTCAGTTTGATTGGCCTGCTGTGAAACAGGTTTATTCCGCAAACATCTATTCTAATGTGCACATTTTGTGTCCTTGAGATACTGTTCTCTGCTGAAATGGTTTTAGGTATTTTTTAAAAAATGCTGCTTTTGATGATGAAATTATGCAGGGTTTGCGCAAAATAGATGCTCTTGAAAATGTAATTTCGAATTTTCAAGAAAATTGAATGCTTGCAGATAAAGTCTTACAATAATTCTGTAATGCTTGAAACTCCCACCAGGGGTTATGTATAACTGGTCAAAGTCAAAGGTCAATATAATATATATACAGCTGGTTTACTTGTCACATTGTTCCATTACGCATTTTTTTGGTTGCTTTTTTTTTTTAATAAATTTTTTTTGTTCTCCCTTTACTTTGTGTTACAGCAACAATACAGAACTACATCGTATAATTGCAGATGAATGGAACATTTTTTTTGTCTCTTACTGTGTTGATTTTATAATTTTTCCCCTTCTTCCTGAATCGGATTTGATCTGCACCAATAAAAGATATTTTAGGTCAAACATTGACTGACAGTTTTGAAATGAGTTCTTTATTAACATGGAGTTATGTGAACAGATTTGGTTGGTTGACGACATGCTATGATATATATTTTGCCTGGTCTTTCTTTTTTTTGTCCCTTTGCTGTCTCAAAAGTATTTCAGCAGGACTTTACTTTGTCAGCATCTGTGGTATAACGATAAAGCACTCGGACTTTGCACGCAGAAGACCTGAGTTTGATTCCTATCTTGAGAAAATTTTTATTGAGTGTCTCTACCATTCTGCAGGGACGTTGTATTGTTCTCAGCCCAGATTGGCCCTAATAGCCACCGTCGAAGTCTGCCTCCTGAATTATCAAAATTGTGGCGAAGGGGGCATAAAAACACCTACATGTACATTCAAATCAAATTTAACAGGACCTAATACATCGTGACCTCAGTGCTTTCTTGTCCTATTTCCATTTTTAATAACAGTGAAAACAGTTCATAGCAAAGAATGAGCGTAAGAGAAGAAGTCACATTTTCAATATTTTTTTTTAAATGAAGATAATACAAGAAAGCACTTAGGTTGCAATATAATGACAAATAAGTTTTAGATAAGAGGCTTCTCTGGCATGGTTCATGGTTGCGAACTTAACGGTTGAACCCAATTTTGGCTCAACTGTTAACTCAGTTGGTACAATGCTGAACTACAGAGCAGATGGTCCTGGTTCGTATCCCCAATAGGGCGTTCTGAACTTGGGTTGTTCAGGGGATTTTCTTAAGATCCCCACCCTTCTGACTGGTTCATAGTGGATAAATTTTTATGTCATACTTCTTAAATAACTGTACAGTGTTGAAAGGGGCATTGAATTTATACAATGACTCATGAAACCTAGTTTCGGACAGTGCTGCCCTGAGTAATCTGCAGATTTGAGTAGTTGGCATAGATTGATAGGTTACTGAACCGATGTCTGTGGTTTAGCGGTTAGATGCTTTGCTGTAGCACACTATACAGGAGACCTGAGTTTATTTCCCAAATGGGGAGAAAATTTGTATCGAGTATCTCATTCTTTTTGCTGGAATGTATCTCTCTCCTCAGCTTGGGTTAGCCCTGACAGACAAGGGCGGAGCCCACCTCCTAAATGATCTAAATTGTGTTGACAAGGATGTAAAAACACCTTCGTTATTTTTTTCTTTCTACTTTTGTTTCTGTGTTCTTTGTACATTGTACTCCTTGTGGGTAGTTGCGGATGCTCTGGTGTGGTTTGCTCGTTCTTTCCTGCCTAAAATCTATCGTCCTGATCTCTTCCACCTTCTTATTTGTGTTCGTTACTCGCTTGTAACACCTCTAATCTTCGGCCCTTATAATATAACATGAGATCTTACTTTACTGTGTTCAAGTGCAGTAAAACTCTTACCTGTACAGAAACTCTCTACACAGTTGTGGGTGTGGGGCACTGACCCATTCTTGATGCAATGGGTGTTGTCATTGAAGGTGACAAAAATAGGTTTTGGTGCACACTAAAGAGCTCTTTGATCTCTTCAGAAGAAAAACAGCTGGTGGTTGGAGGGCTTGAGGTAGGTCCTTTTTTTTTCCCCCACTACTGTTGATTCTGTCTGTCTGTCTGTCTTGCCTTTTCCCTGCACCGAGTGACCGTCTCTGTGCCGATGTGCTTCTCTTTACTCAAAACTCAAAAGGAGACAAACGTAACTGATCTTGACTCGAAAAAAAGTTTCATATGTTCTCTGTTTATAGTGGGTGGTTGGAGTGCTCTGGTGAGGTTTGTTCCTTCTTTCCTAAAATATCTGTCGTCCTTATCTCTCCTCCTTCTTTTGTTTCTTGCTCTCTTGTTGTAGTAACACCTCTAATCTTCGGCACTTATTTGACCTTATTGTGTTGCAAGTGCCGTAAAACTCTTACTAACTAAAACATTTTTTTTTTTTTATATGGACTTCAGTGGGTGTCGCATTCAACGAGAAGTCGGCTCCAACGAGGCAATCCGTCATCCCCGATTTTTTCATCTATACATGCATCTCTTTGTAAATGTACGTCAGCTCCAACGAGGTTGCAAACCGACAGTAGACAGAAGTCGCTTTCAACGAGGTCGCGATAACCAAATAAAAGCAATTAGCGACCCCAAAAGCGAAGTATTTTTCTCCTTGCTCTCCATCTCACGCGAAGCACAAGGTCCATCCTCGATTCCTAACACTACTGTATTGCTAGATCTAGTGACACTAGTGTGCCCCCTAAATGGACCCCAAAGCCAAGAGGATGGTCGAGGGTTAGCCTACCGTAGGGATGGGAGAAGGTGGGTGGGAACGCGGTGCGGGCTTTGTGAAACTGGACGACTCTGGATCGGTAGGTCAAGATCGAGACCTTCATTTTTTCAATTTTCATTTCTTCCCCTGATTTAAAAAAATCCAAGCTCTCGCCTTTACTTTATGTAGATGTAGATATATATATATGTGAGAGTGAGAGGATATGTTTCTACATGAGAAGTGTTCCGGAGAAGAAAAAAAATCTTTAATCCAGAAATGACTGTGAGAACACAGCTCAAACTCAAACATGTGCACACTGATGCTGTTTGAGATTTTTTTGTCATCAGGGGGAACAGCTGTTTTAATTACTGGTATTGGTACATCATATTTAATAATAACTTGTTTCCTTTCTTTTCTTTAGCCTTATATTAGTCACGTTCAACGAGAGGTTGAATCCAACGACGTCAACAAGCCGGTCCCGGCAACCTCGTTGAATGCAGTGAACACTGATGAAATGACAGATCTCTAGATTCTAGATAGATATTTTCTTTCGAAGAATGACTTTCCCCTCGTTTTTTACGATGTATGTTATCCTCGCTTGCTGGTTTCCAACACCTGGTGTTGAGATGGGCTGGATTTCTGAGAAAATTAGGAAAAGCTTAATGTACCGATGCGGGTGGTTGGAGGGCGCCACTAGTAAGACCAGACAGTTGTAGATCTTACTTCTTTTCTTTCCTTTTATTGTTTCTGTCTTGGTTCTACTACTACTTCCCAGCACTAAAACTAAATGACCATTATTATTGTGTCGATGTGCTTACTTTACTCAAACTAACTTTGCCCTCGAGGGTGGTTAGAGTTAACAGCAGAGGCCAGTGCTAGGTTCTACGTCTTTACTTTCCCTCTGTTGTTCCTGTCTGTCTCTCTTGCTTCTTCCCAACACTTTAATGACCGTGATTATTCTGTGTGCTTCTCTTTACTCAATATATAATGATGTATGGCCTATATGCAGTCTACAGCACATATTTATACATTTTTGTTTTAAACGTAACGTCACTACCCCAAAACAGAGCTCTTTGGGATAGTAAGGTTTTCCCCTTGCTGCCGCTCTTCCATCATCCATTGGCTTTTTTTTTTGTTTTGTTAATTAAACTTTTGTATTGTATAATGATGGGGGTGTGAGACAACTTCACGTCTTGATACCTTTAGTAAGCGTGCAGATTGACCAAGATTCTGCCCTGCTGATTAACTCAACAGTTGTTGTTGGGCGTTTTTGTTTGTTGTTTTTGTTGTTGTTGTTTGTTTTTTTTGTTTTTTTTTTGGGGGGGGGGGTAGGGTACTGCTCTCATCGAGCTCCTACTAAGTTACTAATTGTAATGACATAATATCCAGCTTTGCCCACAGTACTCGTGCCCAGTTGTAAAGTGCTCTTTTATTTTTTTATTCTACTGGTACTGTTTTGTATGACGGTACAGGGAGTACGGTAAATCTGTCCCCGTCGTTTTATGCAAGAACAATTCTGAAATTATACAAACTGAACCCAAAAATGTGAAGTTATGCGATTCTGTTAATTTTAACAAAGAATTATAAAGGAAAATAATCAGAAATTATGCAAAAAATGATCAAATTTTGCTAAATTAAGCGGGGTGCATAAAACCACGGGGACAGGTACATTATCTTTTACGTCCCCAGCAATAATTATAACTTTGATGATTTTAGAGGTGGGCTGTTTCGATTCTGTCAGCCAAGACCAACCCTGGTAACCCAGAGGTAGTGAGAGGGGCACAATATGTATCCTGGCAGAAAGATGCATACTTGGAAAGGAGAATTCTACTTCTACACATAGGCATTGATGAACTCATCATCAGCAAGCTGTTGTTAAATCTAAATGTAGGCTACTGAGCCCAGAAAGCAAACGTTTACAGGAGAGAGAAAAAAAACTTTCATTATTTTCACAAGTGCACTTAAATTGTATTATAATTATAATACCAAGTACCCAGGCTATGAAATACAAAGGAAGAGGTAGGCTTTAAAAAATGGATTGGGGGAGTCAAGGGAACCCAGAGAATTTATAACATCTCAATTGAAAGCATTACAGATTACAGAGTTGGCCTGCTATAGAATACTGACTGCATCTCCCCCTCGACCCTCAATGGCAACAGGATGTAACGGTAAAGTAGTACATGTACCTACAGCGTGTGTGTGTGTGGGGGGGG